CAAGGATCCGGGTTCCGCCCTTAAAGGCAGTGGGAAGGGAAGGGTCGCTCTCCATTTCCTCCCCCCTCCCCATCCTGCCTGTACCTGGTGGGTGTAAAAAAAAGGGGGGAGGAAGTCCTTTGGCTCTTGTCCTCCTTGGAAAGGTAAAATCTCAAAAGGGGAGGCGGATCTCTGAAAGAAACTCCATCCTAGCCACCCCTTGGTGTCAGCTTGGGAGGACCTCCAAGTGCGGGGGGGGGAGGGGGGAGAGCTGGCCTGGGCAGGTGTTGTAGGGTTAGAGAAGAAAGAGTTGCTGCAAAGGGAGGGAGGATTGCGAATGTCTTCTGCATGTCATTTTCCTCTTCTCTCTGTCCAAATTGCCCTTTAGGGACTCTAAAGAAGGGTTCCCGATCCAGTTGCTCTCTCGGCTGCCTGATCCGGCAGAGAGGAGAGCGGATCCATCTCAAGACCAGATCTGGGGATCCACGACAGGAGAGCGGAGAGGTTTGTGGGTTTTTTTCCTCCCTGCCTGGCGTGAGGGCTTCCTTGTGTCCTTCCGAGCAGGAAAGGTCTTTTTTCCCCTTTCTTTCTCTGAGAGGAAGGCAGTGATGAAACAGGCTGAGAAGCTGACGGACTTTCCTTCTCAGGATGTTTTTCAACGGAGGTAAAACGAATCCTTTCAAAAACAGGTTCTTGTGGCAAGTTTGGCAAGCTTCCGTGCAGAATATTTTTCTCGTGGTTTGGTCCCAGAGGTCCAGTTCTGGACCATCCACTTTACAAAAGGCCAGGTCCTCATTTCCCCTCCATTTTTGGACTCTTCTTGGAGAGCCTGCTCGGCCAGGGAGTCTCCCGTCCCATAACTGCTTCCTACTTTTGGCTTTCAAAACTCCACCCTCGGCCTTTTAAATCTGGGGCTGGGGTGTGTGTGTGTGTGTTTCCTCTCCCAGGAGGTCTTTTTGTAAAGTGAATGGCTCTGAAGTGTCCATTCTTGACCAAAGTGTCCCCACATCCATTGCAAGGCAGCAAGGGAAGTTAACAGAAACCGGGCCTTCTCGGCGGTGGCCCCTCGGCTGTGGAACACCCTCCCTACTGAAATCCGGCTGGCACCCTCGCTGGGCGTTTTCAAAAGCCAGCTGAAAACTTGGCTATTCAAGCAGGCCTTCCCTTCAATCAATTAAGTGATTCTTGTTTCTTTTTCTCGTGATTCACGCCGTCTTGGGACTGTTTGCTTCAAATTAATTGTTAAAATTGTAATTCTATGATTTTATATTCTATATCGTTCTGTTTTTATCTATGTAAAACTGTGTATATTCTAAATTGTTTCTATCTTGTATGTTGTGAGCCGCCCAGAGTAGACTATGTCTAGATGGGTGGCATATAAATGTAATAAATAAATAAATTAACAGCAAGTCCCTTTAATCTGTGAAGGGTGGTAGGTGAGCTCTGAGGGAAGAAGGCAGCCTGAGCAGGGTCCGGGTTAGAAGATAGTAGGGGATGATGATGTTCCTGCAAGTGAGAAATGTCTTGAGACATGCATTGAGTCTTCCCGGGGTTCCACGAAACTACCACATTCCTTCGGGCACACAGGGCACTGTGGCAGAGAACCACCACGGCACGTGGGATGTGCGTTGGTATCTTTCATAATCCAAGACAGTGAAATTGATTTTTTAAAATGGCTTTGTTAACAATAGAAGGATGCCACTGATGGAAATCTACCGTGCAGTGAAATAGGGGTGGGAGAGAGAAGTTCTGTGTGATTTTTGTTGGTGCCAGTTTTTGGGTGAGAAAGTGGCATGGGCTGATGGTCTGCGTCTCTGCTTCCAAGCAAAGAGAATTGCAGAAGGAGGAGACCCTGTAAGTACATTTGTACTTCTACAAGTACTTATGCGGCTTTGGAACAATATCAATAAATTTCAAACAGTTGCAGATCTCACTGTGCTAGTTAACAGATACTTCGGCTTAACAACAACAACTGAGATTCAGGGGGGGTTCAGCTTCAGGGATTGGGGGGGAACCCAGCACCCTAGGGAATGAATTAGGATCAGGGAGGAAGCTGGTTGTGAGACAGCCTTTCTCTATATTTAGGAACATGTTTCTTTCTCAAACTACAAATCCCAAAATCCTGTGTCTGTGGGGATTCTGGGATTGTAGTCAGTGAAAGGAACTCTTCCCAGCTCTGCCGTCACCTCCTCTTCCTTTCTGGGTGGTCATTCCCAGGCCCACCTGCCTGGCCTGACCTTAGGAAGATCTTAGAAGAGGTGAAGGGACAGTAATTCCCCCTTTCCCCCTCAATTCCTCCCTAGGGAGCAGCAGGATGAGCCCCATGGGCCCCACGTCATGGTCTTTGCCAGAGTCTGTGAGATGCCCCTCCTTCCTCCCCTTCCTGTTAATTGTTCTTTCCTTCCTCCCTGCCACTCTTTTATTAACTATGTGTCCCCTCTCCTATTTCTGCTCTCCAAAGAAGAAAGACATAGAGAAGTTTCCTACTCTATAGTTCCGTCTATGTAGCCTCACGTGAAGTAAAGACAGAAACATGGCCTGTAAGGAAAAGAAGCCTCCAGACAGATCCCTTTTTTCTTTTCTCCAGAACAGAAGGCGGGACGGAACCGATCTCTCCTCACTTTCCTTTGGACAGCAAGGGAATAAGCTAATTCCAAATTGCTCCAACATTTCCAAGGTAGGTGGAATTGTCATTCTTTATTCATATCGTACAATCGTGGAGTCGGAAGGGGCCTTTAAGGCCAATGCGTCCAGCTAAAGCCAGGCATCCGCATTAAAGCAAATCTGACCGAGAGTTGCCCGATGTTTTCTTTCAGTGTCATAGTGCTTTCCACCTCCCCCTGAGGTCATTGGTTCCGTTGCTGCACTTTTCAAATGGTTAAGAGGTTTTTTTTCCTGATATTTGGCTGAAATCTGATTTCCTGGATCCGAAGCCCTGGAACCCACCCCCATTTCACTGCCCGGTAGATTTCCGAGCCAGCATCTGTCACTCTGGGGTGACAGATGCTGCCTCCACACTGTATGATGTGGCGTATGACAGTCTTTGAAGTATTGCAAGAGTGTGATCCTGTCTCTAGGCTATTATGCCCAGTTCCTTCAGCCTTTCCTCTTAAGGCTTGGTTTTCAGTCCTTTGCGCCTCTTTGTCTCCATCCTCTGAGCTGCTTCCAATTTTCCTGCCTTGGAATCCTAGCCTGTGCCAAACAGAGGGGACGTTGTGCTTTGTTTATTTATTTATTTAAAATCTTTTTATCCCACCTTTCTCCTTAATAAGAACCCAAGGCAGTTTACATCATTAAAAACAATACAGTGGTGCCCCGTATAGCAACGTTAATCCGTTCCAGGATTAACATCGCTATACAGAAACATTTGTAAAGCGAAATTAAAAAGCCCATTGAAACGCATTAAAACCTGGTTATTGCATTCCAATGGATTAAAAACTGGCAGGGACGGTGGGTGGGGGATCCCGAAGGCTTCCAGGCAAAAGCCCCTCCACCCTGTCCCCGCCACCCCGCGCTGCCTTCCCTAGCCGAGATTGGACTCCCAGGAGCCCGATCCAGGCCGGGGAAAGCG